ATTGAGCTTACAATAATACAAAATTTGGAAAGAAACTAATGGTATAAAATCTGATGATTTTGAAATTGAGCTTACAATAATACAAAAATTGGATAGAAACTAATGGTATAAAATCTGATGATTTTTAAATTAAGCTTACAATAATACAAAATTTTGATAGAAACTAATGGTATAAAATCTAGTCTGATTTTTAAATTGAACTTACAATAATACAAAATCTAGTCAAAAACCAATGGTATAAAATCTGGTCTGATTTTTTAATTTAGCAGGCATTGATACAGAATCTGGCCAGATCTGGTCTGATATTGAATAAGATTCTGACAAGAAGATTTTTAAGTTTCTCCTTTGTATAAATTTATGTTAGAAAAGTGAATCCCAGGACAGAGCAAATTCTTATGCCAAGCCAATATTTTGAAAATACTTTGTTCACTATACAGTGTTTCATGCCATATAAGCTATAGCCCTTTATTTGCAAGAGAAGAAGACTTTTTAAGAATTTACTTTATACATACAAAGGAAAACCATTGGCATCCCCAACCAGTGCTAATGTTGACTCAGAACAGTGATTACAGAGGTCCACATACCTAATATCATAGCTTTAACCTTTAGGATTTTAAGTTTTTACAATATACATACATGTATAAGTAAAATCCATGACCCTTAACGAAGGGCCAAATTTACCTTCTTGAGGACCTCTAGATGATGTTTCATACAAGACATCAAAGCTCTGGTCCTTTCATTGTTTGATGAGAATATTTAAACAAGCTTGTAGTTTTCTTTACAGCCTATCTAGAAGCAAAATTTTTCAAGAAGTTGTGTAAATACACTTATATCCTTTATTCCTAGAAATCAAATATAATTGAAATTTTCACCAGATACCAAGGTGAGTTGCTTTAGAAGCTGTGCAGGTTTAACACAGAGTCACCTTAGTGCAGTCCTTCTAAATTTAGTAGGAGTTAACCAATTATTGCACTAAGGTGCCGATAGTCGACATAATTTCTAACATGGGACATTTATCATGTTTACAAGTCTGTACCACTGACATTCAACAATGCCCTGCCATACATTTACTTTATTGATGCTGAAATATTTTTTGTACTTTCAACACATGTTTTGGCTTTCAACACATGTTTGTGTTTTAGGGTTACTGGAACATATTTTCTGTATTGGCAACATAACATTGTACTTTTATGGTTATTCGGTTAAAAGTTTACAGTAATGTTAATGTCATTCCAGAAATAACTTGACCTTGTGTAAGGCACAGTTGCATTTTTAACATTTTATAAAACTGAATAATACTAGAGATTCTAAAGGGAAAAGCATTTACACCATATGGTTCCTTTTTACTTATGACAATGCACAATTTAATTGCTTCTTTTTTAGATGCAATTTGCAGATGAGCATAGATTTTATGATTTTAAACTCATGAAATGCGGTGACATTTGCCAGTGTTTAAATCCTCCGGCCTGTCACAATACGGTCTTTTCTTTTCCCCTTAACACTTTTAATGAACAAATAATCTCACTACAAATGTTTCCTGTTAACTCTTACATATCTATGATATCTTAATTTTTGGGAAATTAGGGTTTAAAATTTTGCATAAAAAATTAAAAAAAATGTTCATAACTTTTTTGCAAAATTTTCGGAGATCAGTTTACATGAAAATATTGTCAACAGACCAATGTTACTTAACTTTCAATAGTTTAATAGTTAATATGCACATTCAGCACTTTCTAAGTCTTTTTATATTTTATATTTTTTTGTATACCGTTAAAAAAAAAGATGTTCTTATCTTACAAGAGCTGCCTGTAAGACATTGCGCTCGACTTTTTTAAGCGCTTGACAGTAAGAAAAAGGGGTATAACTCTGTAAAAGGGTAAGTCAGAGTTATTGAACCTGAGTGTATAATTTTACATAATCACAGATACCAAATGTGTGAAGTTTCAAACAATTCCCTTCAGTAGTTTTGGACATACCAACTTGCACGCTGATGTGAAAGCTGACACCGACAGAATACAAATTTTAAATAAGTCTTGCATGTAAAGAACAGAGCATATATGCACTTAACCATGTTAAATGATTTTAAAATAACCACATAAATTTGACAATATAGTCACAGAAATAACCTTACAACTTTTCTAAGTAAATTTATGATTGATGGCGGGTAAACATTAAAGATACATTAATGGAATCCTACAAACAAGCCTTTTTGAGACAAAATGACACAGTTAAGACAAATATATGCTTTCCTGAGATAGAAGGCCATCCAGAGTGGCCCCAATGGAGTAACCTATTATATATTTTAACAAATTAACTTTAAATATATATGTATATAATGTATATATAAACATGTCCTATAACAGCTTTTCACTCTCTCTCTCCCCCCCCCCCCCTTTTTGAGGCCTCAATAAGTGAAAAAAATGCCCTATTTTGGCCCCAAACACTATTTTTCGTTTGAGAAATGTTGTTCAAAAAAGTGAACACTTTTTCGGCGCCGCTCCTTATAAAAAAGGTACATCAATGGTGTACCAGAGGGAGGATGTGCCCCCTTCTGTTTGGGGGTTTGAATGGGGGCAGTAGCCCCCCTCATTGCCAAGATAATTTTGGATTTGTGAGGGGCTAAAAATGGTCTCAGGTCGTTCTTAAGGTAACGTTTACCCAATGCTGAAAGCCTTTGACTTCATCTCATTCCATTGAGAAGTTGCAGCACTTTGAAATCAGATTTGATGGAAACAGGAAATTTAAGATTGAGCATGCTGTTACAAAAGCTATGGTCCAGTCAACATTTGTGCCAAGTTTGATCAGTATTGAAGCATTTTTTATAGTTTCATAGCAGTTTGAACTTGTAACAGGAGGCTTTTCAATAAAAACAGCCATTTTTTCAATATGCTCATGCAGTAAAAGGTTAGATTGAGTTTTCTTCATTTATTTATTATATACAACATACAGTATGTTCTAAATGACATTTACGGCAGCTTAAGATGTTGTATGTACTGTTTAACCTTTTTATATCAACATCTAAGTATTAAAACTCCATTCTTCACTTCTTCATTCAGCTTTTCAAATGAAACAATGGGTGCAAGCTCATAGCCAGGTCAGAAACTTGTACATTTGTAAACTTTGACAAACCATAAAAACATACAAAATATATTATCAAATGAAGTTATATATCATAAGTTTTTACGAATGACCAGTTATTTTTAATTTCTTATTTTCATTTGTAATATTTTTTATTTGAACCCAAGTGACCAAATTTACCGGTAGGTAGGTTTGTTTAGTTTATATGAATTTATTTTTAGTTTGATTGTGTTGGAAGCTATAAGCTTCTTGAAACACTCCTGAATCCATTCCTGGAACCAACCAGTACTATGCAATGAGTGTAGTTTCTTGCTCACAGAAACAACATAAAGCTTATGCTGATATGGAAAATTAAAATGGTGGTCCTCATGCTTATTTCCCTTCTTGTACATACTTGACATTAAACAATCTTAATTGTTTGGACTACTTGTTTTTGAATGATCTGCTTTTCATAAAACTTTGGAAAAGGAATATTCCATATTATGTATTATGTTCATAATTATTAATTTCATACATCTGAAAATTAGATCAGTCTAGCTGAATATGTTTCTATTCAAATTAGTTCTAGCTTCCACAACTTGATAAGGCACTTTTTTTAACATTTTGCCCTTTTGTGCATTATTACGCACAAAAGAGTAGAACCACCTGCCTTCAATGAGCCAGTTGGATAGTTTCCTCCCATGAAATAAAACAAAGTCCCTGATGGGATTCAGGCCCACAGTGGTGAGTTTCCCCAGAAACTATTTAGAATTCCGCAACCTTAACCATTCTGCCATGAAGGCCTCTAGATTGACATCATATCAAATCTACTTGTGTTATTCTGATAAAACACCAAGCAGTTTTTATAGAGCACCATGCAAGGTATTGTCGGACACCCATGTTTGATCAACACATACTCAATGTTAATGGTTCGGCCGTGGGTATCCGATGATGCATGCAAGGTAGCTGCAGTATTTGTTATAACTGCTTTTGGTATAACCTTGTCAGAGAATTGATAACACCACCTTCAGCATACCCTTCATCTAGGCCTTTATTGTTGCTTCATCCTGGTCTCAAACTCGCAACCCCATTGCAGATCTTTATCTCATTTTTTGAAGTACTAGTATACAGTACATGTAATAATTGAATTATATGTGGTCCAATTTTGAAGTACCAGTATGCATGTAAAAATAATGGCAAGGATGTAAGTGGTCCAATGGTACATGTGTCTGCCTCTTGGTATAGTGAACATTGATTCTAACCATATTTCTCCATATTACATTGTTTGACGGGAAGATTTAAACAAGCGTGTAGCTTTCTTTACAGCCTATCTATAATAAACCTTTAGCCCACTGGCAGCCACTGATTCATCCCCATGCAACCAAGATCAGTGGGCATGTCATAAGACTGCACATTTGTAACGCTGGTTTTCATTGGATAATCGTGATCTTTAAATTAAGTATTAATACAGCCAAGGTCAATTTATGAAGTAATTTCCTCAAGTAAGGTAAGTTTGCTGTATTATGAATTCATTATAGATTCTAGACAGGTTACATGGCTGCATATAAATGACTATTTTGCTTGTACAGAATTTCTCCTAGTTTCATTGGTTAGAAAGTTTATTTACAGCTTACAGACACACTCTTGAATCTGTTCCTGGAACCAACCAGTATTGAGCAATAAGTTTCCTGCTCAAGGAAACAACAGCTTGCCAATAACGGGATATGAACCCACATGGAAAGCGATCCGTAATTTACTAGTCCAAGTCATTACCCACTTGGCAATGCTGCCACTCTCACAAGTGGTTATATATTTGCATAACAACCATAGCCAATGAGTATGCAAGCAACAAACTATATAGGGCCATATAACCTCATATAACATTTTTATAACTAATAATCAACAGAATAAAATCTTAAAAGTAAGTGACAACAAAACAAATATTTTATTTCGATGTATTTTTTTTTTTGTATTTTTTCCTATAAAATTTTCAATCAATAGACAAGTTCAATAGTTAACAATGTTGAGAGAACATAATTTACAATCTTTATGCACAATAAACAGATGTTGTGTAAGCCACATAGTTCTAATGCTACAGTGTCATATATGCCATTTGTGTACAGTCGGTATATATACACACTATGTTTACATATATATTTACACACATTCATACAGTTTTTGAATCAATTGCACAAGTGCTTATTCGTCTTTGCTTATACTTTGACCTATAAAATAAATATACTATGTTTTGAATTTATAAAATCTGTAAAACAAAAATAGATGACAAAAAAATAGGGTTTATTTTATATAGGGTTGGTATTTTAAACATTAAAACTGTTCCAAATAATTTTGGACCAGATCATGGCCAATAAATAGGGAGACTAAACTATGAAAATAAACATTTTTTATAAGCAAATGGCAGACTGATGACCAAAAATAATATTTTCTCATAACTTTTATACACATTTACCCCAATCTTTCATTCCAACTTATAGAAACAAAAAAAAACCCAAAATACATCTGAACATTTCTGTTTTTTTTTTTATCACCAGTTCATAATAGCTAGCACATTTTATACGCACCAATCAAATACCAGTTTCTTCAACAAGCATTAAATGTCCAAGATTCACAAACAATCACTGTTGTTTGACTACAGTAAAAGCTACATTTAATAATATTCAACAACTTGATTAAGCAAAAATTTCCACCCGTTACAGAATCATTTGTAAGTTAACCTGATAAACAAAAGGTGGGCTTTACATGAAAGTAAGTCTTTAAAATAAAATCATTTGTGAAGAAAAAACTAAAAAAACTTAAAAGATGCATGAATTTGAATAATGCGGCCTGTATCCCCACATTTCTGAGCTAGAACAATAAAGTCAAAATCAGACTGTTAATTTTTTGCAGCTAGTTTTATCATCATGTCTACATTATTTCAGTAAGATATGTCTTATTTGCATGTCATGAGCCTATTTTAAAGTCTCTACAGCATGCAATTTTATAAAAATATAATGATAAAATTCAACACCTAACAATATTCTTAAATATTTATACCTAAATAAGTTAAACATTGCACTTTTTCAGCCACTGTTCCTCCCTTTAATTTCATCAATTCATCTACTTTCTATGGCAGATAAACTTTAAACAGTATATTAAACAAAACTTTCACAATTAACAATGCACCAAAATGTGTACATGATCTACCTACTGATTAACATCAGACAATAACAAAGTTTTCTATCTTGGTCATTATAGTCAACATCACTAACGTTTATACATTAACAAAAAATAGTTAAAAAAAACTTTCTTGGCTGCGAAAATTTAAAAAAAAAAAAAATTAATGCTTTGTCAGTTTCCGACATTTGAGTATAAATAACATTTTTTTTATAGCTCTTTCTAAGTAAGAATCTCTAGTTTTTATAATATTATTGAAGACAAGAGAAAAAATTCATATAAAATATCTAACTGTATAAAAATCACTTTACGCAATCCTATATAAGGTATAAAAGAATAATGCCCAAAAAATCCTTAAGTTACAGTCAAGTAACTTTTATAATTGTAGGAAAACTAATAATTGTGTACAAATGAAAACAGTCATCAAAAGCATATTTGATCATTTATCAATCAAATCGTAACAAAAGGATCGCCACAATGACTGATGATAAAATATTAACATAGCGGAAAACCGGTACGCACTTTGAACCCTCGTCAAACGAGGCAGGAATATAAAGATAGCAGTTAATATGATGTCCTGTCAATCAATCTTAAATTCGAATAAATTTTATTTTTTCTTATTCGTTAAATTCAGTGTGAATAAATCAAAACAATAACCATACATCACGTTCTTCTGTGAACCACATGTTGAAAACTTCAACTTCCCAATCATGTTCAATTCATATAAACTGCCGTGGATTTTAAGGAAATTTATAAGCATATGCACCAAAATTGTTCACTAATCTCTTTCTAGACTGGCAATAGCACTAAAACCCTAGCACATTATAATCTTTCTATTAATCTTCTAATCAAATCAATAAGAATTTTCAGTTCGGTTGCAAGACATAAAAACATGTTATTAAAATATTAAACATAAAATGTCAAGCGAGACAGAGTACTGTGGTTAATCTATGTAAGAAACAGAGATATAATTGTTGCTGAATGGCAACTAAAATGTCTTTGACCTAATTGCACTAAGACATAAATCCGATACGAATTGTGTTCTGTTTAACAGAATATAAATAACGTTATACATGTACGATGACTAATACAAATGCTGCTTTTAAACATGTACTTCTTATATCACCTACTCTTAAAACTTATATATAGGTTTTACAGAAATGTGATTTAGCGAAAGTCAACTGACCCCATAAAATATAGATTTTTATTGTTTATACAGAAATTTTTCAACACTTTACATAATTGGAATTTTACGTGATAATATCATTTTATTTTAAGATGCACTGTTTTTCATCAATTTTTCTCATATATAGGTGGTTTCTTATTGTTAATAATGTTATGTTAATGAAGTGTTTATGGTAAAAAAAACAAAAGACAACATGTAAAAGTATCGCTTTTTAGAAAAAAAAACCCAACTTACATTTTTCATTTCTATAAAAACAGAAAGTAATGAATAAAAAAATTTAAACAAAAATCTGATAATTGTTGGTATTAGTATACTCCAAAAGATCCGTGTTTAATTACAAATATACATTAAAATATGCGGGTTTAAATACCAGTATACTTCAAAATATCTGGGTTAAATTACCAGAATACTTAAAAATATCTAGGTTTAAGTCAATTTACCTTAAAATATATTCTGAGTCTATGTAATTATTGGATTTATCAAACAAAACCCCCAGAAAAGAGTCAGCCAACCGCTTATACATTATCAGAAGTATCGCAAACATCATGTATATGTCATTGATAAATAAATCTAGTTTGAACTACTAGTATTGTTTATGAACGTGCATTTTTCAATCATCTAAAATGACTATTGTATGCAATGACTATTTTCTACTTCGTGTGGACAACAAAACTAACACAAGATTCAGCAGCCATATTAACAGAGGTAGTTTTGCACCAAAATTCAGTTTATAAGTTCGTAACATTTTCTTCATTGCTGATCATTTCAAGAAATACGAAACAACAACATGTACAACAAACCTAACATACTGCAATGTAAACAACCTTGAAACAACATTCACAATTTTGTTCACAAATCATTATTTGACTGTTATCTTTAAGTAATCAATCAATTTCTAGACTTGATTTTTTTTTTTTACCACAAAATTCTCAAGACACGTAACTGTCATAGAGAATTTTTTGATACAGACATTTCAATTTCTAAGAACACCACATGATTTTCATTAACTATTTGATAATAAATAACAATTTTTACAGAATTTACATAACTTAAAGAGGAAATGTTAAGAAACCTAATTTTCTTTTTTTCAAAATATAAAAAAATAATGATATGAAAAGTTTATCTTCTAAGCTCATTCCCATAAAGTCCATCAAGCTTAAAACATGCAAGTCACTTTTGATGACCAGTTCATGAAAAGTTTATTCAGTCCTTCTATCAAAAACATAACATGGAACTGTGCAGCAGCATCAGTTATAATCCTCTCTCATGTTCAACATGGAGTTACTTCCCTTTAGTTGCTGTACTCTCCTCTTTGGAGGTGAAGAAGCTGTACTTCATTTTCTAAAACCTCCGTTTTGAAGGGTAAAGTTACAGAACGGTGTGATTTTATCACAATTTACTGGCAAATAAATGGTCCATAAACAATAAATCACAATATCTTTTTGTGTGCTTTTGTACTACACTCACCAAACAATTTTGGCACTATTTTCCTATATAAAACTATGCAATATTTGATGTGTTTTGAATTGAATAAATTCCTATCCATCAGTCGCTGCGTCTAATTATAGTTTTGGTTCATATGTAAGTACACAGGTTCCCGGCTGTAAAGAGTGTCATGAGCAGCCCGCACGGGATACAGTAATCGAATATCTAACGTTGGATTATGGTCCTTTAAAGATTCTTGCTGATAATGTAGAACTAAATGCATTAATGATGGATGCTTAAAAAACGGTTCCGCAAACCCATAGCCAGTCTTTTTGTGAAGAATTTTACAATGTCCTATACTCCCTTGGCATCTGAAATGTAAATAAAATTATTTTATGTCAGTTTCATATAGAAATGATAAAATTATTATTTTTTTTAAATTGTACTGCCAGAATAGCAAACAGTTCTGACAATATTCAAACAGCAAGGATGCCACCTGCAATGATGGCATGGGTGTTTTCAGTTGCTGCCAACAGGTTAAGTGTTAACATAATACCTCGGCAAGGAAACTTTAAAGACACTAACTATTGTTATTTCAGATAATAGTGCTTGTTCTCATCGAATTTCTTTCATATCTGTTATTTAAAAGTTATCATTCAGTTATTATAAAGTGACATAACAGATTATTGTAGAAAGCACACTTACGAGATTGAGAGTACGTAGACATCACCCTCCTCCTGTTTAGGACGGATTAAGAAAGTACCGTCGGGTTTATCACAGAGCATAGCCTCTGCTTCTCTTCTGTCGCAGTCAATAAACCACGACTCCTTGTTATTGTGAGGTAACACCTGTGCATCGTACGTGGACACATTCTCCGTGTCTTTCTCTTCCAAGATACTGTCCAGATCTGCAGCAGGTACATTCTTCTCCAACAACCACCTGAAATCATTATAAACCATTACCATAAGTTTGTATAAGACTTGTTCTAAAGACAATTTAAAAGCTGTTCATTGTTAATTTGGTCAATTTCAAGCATTTACAAAATTAAATTGGTCCCAAACAGATTAAAAACCAAAACCTTTTACAGAGCAACTTTTGTATAAAACTTAGTTCCGACATGCTCTTCATTAGATTTTAATAAATTTTGAAGGAACGAGAGAAAAAGATCTGTCCGAGTAAACTGTGTTTTCATAAGACAATTTACATTTTTAAAGCATAAAACAGTAAAATTTTTGTCTAGTTAAAAAAAAAACAAAAAAAAAAACCCAAAAAAAACCAGCATTATGCAGATTGACTTCTATTTTTCTAATTAAAATTTCTAGACATCCCCGCCAGATGTCACTTATGCACTTCTGTAGCATGAAATGAAAACCTGACAGTTTGTCTATTAACACTTTAAAAACAATGTCACGCATGCCTTCAAAAGAAATCAAGTTTAAAGAAAATATCAATATAGCTATCAAGAAAATATGCAGACTTCAACCTTATGTTGCCCTGATAAAAGACACATGCAAAAATATGTCTAGACTTGATTAGCCAGTGTTAACATCCATCCAATTTTATGACCGTATTTCTCAGAATGCAGTTCTCAACAGCTGATACAACCGTTCAGTTATTTATTCATTTTCAATGCACTCTTATTTTCCTCCTATATCCATCTTACTATATAACAAGTTTAGTTCGGCCAGCAAACCACACATACAATGAATTTAGAGGTGAAGATCTGATGCAAAATACCCTTACATTCATCATTTTACTACCAGGGGGCACATTGAGCAAAAAGACAAATATTCGGCCAGCTAGCTACACAGGGTTCTCAGAAAATATTCATTGTCAATATTTTAACCCTCCTTAGGAAGCATTAATGTTAAAACTTACTTTTTCAGTTGATCTCTTTGTCGACTAAGTCGTTTTATTTCCGGTTTAAGGCTGTTCATTTCACTGATTAGCGCCCTATTATGCTGCGTTTTCCGTTTAATATCCACCTCAAGCTCGCTCTTATTTTCCATAATACTCATCAGACGTCCTTTCAATAGTTCAAAATTTTCGTGCAGTCTGAAATATATTAAAGAAATAATTCAAGTCAAGTCATTTTTACTTTATAAAGTTGGCTACACAAATTACGATACAAATCTTTGCCTACATGAAAATCTGACTGTTTTAAGTCATGAGTATATTTCAACACATTTTCAACTTCATAATTATAAGCAAAGAAAACAGCAGAACTGGGCATTGTCAAGAAAAAGCAAAACTGCACATTATTTAGATATCAGCTGAATTTTTTTTTTTAAACGGACATGTCTAGCTTCTATTTTTGGAACTACACATTGTAATTTAATTATTGGGGTATCATGATAAAAAGTACAGTTTGACAGGCAGCAATTTTGAGCTGCAGGCTGCCCAGGCTATATAATGGTGGCAAAAGGTAATAACTGCTTTCAAACAGGTAATGGGTAAAGAAAATTATGTGAGATGTCAACCTTACTTTAAACTGTTGTTGACTTTTATGGGACTGATGCCCTTTTTATATTATGCAAAAAAACACACCAGTTAAAATCCCAGCCAAAAAATATATATATCGGTATGTAAAAAAACAAAGCAGTCAGGTTCGACTAATGCACTTTTTTAGTCTGTGTTCTTCTTTGTTATTATTCATTTACATGCATTTCCCTTATTAATATTGGCACTTAAGTTTTGTTTATTACAATGTTATATATAGTGCAAGGAATCTCGTGACATCCAACAAAATATTGCAGTGTATATTTCACACTTTTAGAAAACTGATAAACAACTTCTTCACTTTCTCCTAATGCATCATTTTTATTGAAACAACACAATTTATATACTATAAATAAACAAAAATCCTTAATAACTTTTACATCCTATGATCATTTCTATTTTCGCAACTTTTTTCATTTAATATATTGTCAACATATTACCACCGCAGTGTTGATTTTACGTAAGAACACGCAAAAAGAGCAAATACATTTAAGCAAAAATCCTTAATAATTTTTACATGCTATGATTATTTCTATTTTCGCAACTTTTTTCATTCAATATATTGTGAACATATTACCACCGCAGTGTTGATTTTACATAAGAACACGCAAAAACGAGCCAATACATTTAGAAAAGAACAACAAAATCTTTAATAAAACCCAGGTCATACCTTTGAATCTCATGTGGTGATGCCTCGCCATGGAAACGTTTATGTAACTCCATCTGCTCCTCAAACACGGCAATTGTTTCTTTGAAAGCATCAAGCGCCTGATGTTTGAGCTGCAGATCCAGCTGCGTCTTCGAGTGTTCATCGTACAGGGAGTCGTACTCCAGTTCCTTAGTCTGGAAATCCTTATTGATTTGTCGCAGACGTAACTTCTCTTGTTGTATATCATCTGACGGGGCATTATCCTGAAACATGCAAAATTTCAATAGTTCACAATCTGAATTTCGTAGTAAATAAACTGCTGAAAGACTATTTACATAAAAATTATCAATCTATTCGATTACAACATTAAAAATCTATTATCTTTTGTCAACTAGTGTATAATTAAAAGATTTCTGAATGTTAAATTTCCCTGCAGAAAGTAAACAAAAAAGAAAATTAACACTGCTTAAATAGCAACTTTAAATGCTTCTGAAATGGTTCAGTAATAATCAACATGTTAAGGTAAAAAAAATGTTTTGAAGACTTACCACTGCTCTACTATGGCACACAGGGTATAATAATTTTATATCTAGTGTCCGGTTATATATTGCCAACGAATATTGCTTGTAATATTGAATTAAATCCACTACAGAGTCACTTGTCAAAGGCTCCACAAATCCGTATTTTCCATCCCTATGAAATATTTTAATAAGTTTGTTAGCTCCACCTTTTCTAAGCGTTAATGTGTAATCCCCAGGTGTGGATGCATCACGCACCAGAAAAGTGCCATCCGGCTTGTCACGTAAAAGTTCATTCACTTCCTCTCTTGATATCGTACCCCAGTACCACTCAGCTTCTTTAAGCTGATCTTGTGGAGACATCGTGTTATGCTTTATCGAAGAGGGATGTAAATCCTCCGGGATCTTAGGGCGAGGTGGTATTGGGGGTGGGGAAGGAGGGGTGGATTCACCCCAACTCCCATTTCGTAATAACTCCTCAAAAATGTCTATGTGTAATTTGGTGTTTTCAACAATTTCACTGCAAAAGAACAAAAAAAAATTCTTTCAATGATATTACATACACATAATGCATTATGACTAACAGAAATGAGTGGAGGTTCTTTTTATAAACTTCAATCTGCTGCAAAAGTTAATACTTATCCTTAAAATACTACCCAATTTAATTTTGTCTCTGTTTCAAAATTATTTAATGAAAGCAACATATCTTACATTATTTTTTCCCATGGTGGTCTCAACAAGATGTGGCAAAAAACATGTGAGAGTTTATCAAGGCCATCTTCCATTCCAGAATCATGTTGTATCCGCCACAATCGTATAAAGTGACCCATGAGATAGCGCAGAGTTGACTTGTGGGCAGAAGGCATTTGCTCGACTAATTCCAACAAGCGTTTCACCAATTCTGCATTCTCTGTTATATTTCCTGCAAAGAAAAACCATATATATACATCCATATGTACGTATATCTGTAATATCTACAACAATTTTGCGGGCACTAACATTTAAGTACTGTAAATACAACGTAACAAAACCTTCTTAGTTTCATAGGGGACGTAATTTCTTTAGGTAAAGGAAGCCTGAAAATGCATTTTCCCACATGCATGTCATACTCATTTAGTAAGTTATATCCTTTCTGTTTACTTTATTCCCAGACAAAGATGAATAAATAACTTTTTGCCATCAGAATGTCAAAAACAACAAAGGATATTTTGGAAGCCTGACAAGAGCAGACTGAGATTTCTGACCGACAACATGCTTATCACAGAATGACATAAATGTCACAATGAATAAACAAACGCAAATATCAACAATTTCATCAGAACGGGGAGAAAAGAAATGACCGAATTCTTTTCCCTTCTACAATATTATAGTCAGTATAAGTCTGAATTTTTCAATATAAAAATTAAAATTTCAAAGAAAAAGTGTTAAAATATCAATTACATATCAAATTCGGTTAAATACAAATATATAATGAAGTTCAAAAGACTTGGCACATGGAATTTTCCATCATGCAATTGAGGTTGGGATCAGATATTCTAAATTGTTTCTTCCTTGGTAAACCACAACAGAAAAAAGTAGGGCACCACAATTATGAAGTAAAGTGAAGTCACACGGAAGAAGAATAAATTTTACACGCTAATTGGTAATTTTTAATACAGTTTGTGGTTTTGCGTTTTTGACTTGCAAATCGCAACACAATGCATGCAAAAAATATAGCCAACAAATATATCAACCCAAATAGTCCTAATATGCTTGCTATTGACACTCCTGTTTTTTTTCCCTGTCTCTTTGAGTCATAAATGCGTTAACTTATTCTGAAATGTACGTAAGATTTCTTGTTTTTCTTTTTTCCTCCCTCTTGTTATATTTTATGTCCACTCCCCATGAAATATAGCCAAAGATATCAGGCATGATCACAATATTGATTTGTTACCCATTATAACAACTTAATAACATGCCATTTATTTTCACATGAAGTATCGAATTTCAAAATCAGTCATGGAACTGTACAATGAAAGTTTAACGGTTTTCACCATCAAAATCCTGCTATTTATAAGCCATATTGTTGTAAAATACTGATATTGAAAACCTATAGAATATACTGTGGTCGGACTGGCCTGGCTCTATACTAGTGGCGAAAGATTTTAACTCGAGGTTTGCACGGGGCTCAAAATGAAAATACAAGCATCAACTTACTGGCAGCATCTATAAAGTAGCTGTACATTTCAACTGGTATGACTGGGTTTGGTAACTCCCGCAAGTATTTCTTCAGAACACCAGCTACGCAGTGCACATTGAAATTATCCAAATTCAACTGGCTGACATCACTCACTGAAATGAAAATACAAATTATATGTTAATAACTTCTTTGGTCATAATCTATTTTTATGTATTATGAGTTAAGGCAAAAATAAAAATATGGGTACTGACTTTTGTATTAAATATGTTGCTACTGTTGCTTCTTCAAACATGCAAAAAATAATGGATCAGCATTCCGAGTGTCATATAAATCTGATTATTTCTTGCCAATTTCTTTTTTCCTCATCTCAAAATAAAATCATTTATTTCTCTGACAATTCCCTCCCTTACCCCCCACCACCAGCGAAACTAAATAAAATTTGAAAATCATAAAAGAAAATCCTATAATCCTTCATAAATTACATCAAAATTCTTATGACAAAAGCCTCTGTTTTAAATCTGTTACTTTTTTCTTCATATTTTTTTAATCTTCCCAAACTGTTTCAAAACAAATGTTCTTTGCTAAGTTACTTTTAAACAGAATTTATAAACATATCAGACCACTTACTATGTACAGAGACTGTAACACGCATTTTGTTTTTTTGTAGAATCAGAGAAACTTCAAGATTATTTAGATAAGTAAATAGACTGGGGGGTTATTAAGTTTCAGACACTGATTCTAATACTTAGAAATGTAGGAGAAGAAAACTGTGTAATGCACGTGGGACGGGAGTGCCAGCAAGCAAGCAGTGATTCCATACATATTATTACAATCTTCGCTGCACTCAAAAACTCCCTCCATATCGACATTCTTTCTACGCATGCAGCATTTCATTTCTTGTATAAACTGTTTACCCCTCTGAATATTTAGTTACAGAACTTCCCCTGCTTTGGATTGGAACCGTCTATTTTCTAGTTTTAGGTATTTAAATGTCAGAAGAAAGAAAAACAATCTGTTAAAGTTTAGTCAGACTGCAAAAAAACAAAAACCCCAAGCCATTCTAAACTGATTGCACATTTCTGTTTTTGTTCAGGTTTTAAATCTTTGGCATGGAATTTTCGTTCTGAAATTACTGTAGCCAGTATAACTGTAATGTTTATAAAGTTTAAATGAGGAATACATTTTATTCAATATGGTATTAAATACAGATGATCAATCATGAATTTTTATTCCTTAATGAATATTCATTATGAATTGGGAGATTTTTTGCCAGAATTAGGCCGGATGTTTTTGTCATGAAATGAATTATTTAAATTGTGTATTGTTATAACAGGTCAAAACATTGTACAAAACTTATTTCAAGTCATCCTAACATATTTAAAAGCCAGAGAGTTCGGAGTAATCACACCAAGGAACAGCACGACCTGATCTTTATAATACAGACACACTATTTTCCTGGATCCATTGGTTCCCAGTCTTACCAACAGTCCCTTAACCGATTGTAAGTTATTCAGTTAATACAAATTTTTTTAATATATATTAATTTTATGAAAATTGAATTCATAAACCTTTATGCATTAAGGCTGGGCTTCATTTATGAATAAACATTTTAATATAGTTATATATGTCTTTTCTATAAATAGCTTCTACGTACAGGCAGGAGTTATTGACATGTATGTTTTAGTCAGTATAAATTACGAGATCAATAAGAAGATTTGGCATTCAGATTCAGTTACAAGTTTCGTAATAATTTACATACAACTATATCAAAGTAATGTGATCCTTTTATATATCATACATGTATGCCCTTTCTAATACCCTACCCTGCCATAATCAATAGGTTTTACCCATGCAACATGCTCTCCAATGTAAGCTATACAGTCCAGTTGAACCAAATTTTAAAATTTTCCCTAAAAATGATCAATGGTTTGGATGGACAAGTCTATTTAAGACATTCAGTTTGGATAAAGTTATAAGTAGTAAATAGAACTTTACCTTTGTTGAATGCTGCCTTAATTTCATTTATTTCTTCAGTCTTTGCTGAAATTCTGTAAACACTAAGGGCTTCAGATTCTGAAATATAGAATATCAATTTCATAATAGTTGATTTTTCACCATTAAATTCTTAAAACCACAATTTTAGTAAAAACTCCATAAAAACATAGGGATTTTCTTAAATCCTAACTGCACATACAAAATTACGATCATTATTTTGTCCTTGTTTTGTAACATGTCCATTTAAATCAAGGCAGAAAATAACTTGTTAATTTAGGCAGATTTAATTCACTTACCATGATCGCTGCAAGCTTTCTCAATTTCTTCAACACATTTCATAACCACTATTGGGGCCTCACCATGAGATCTACTCATCTCATCTGTCAGGTCTGCTCCAAAAACAGAATCTGTAAATCAAACAAAACCCCATGATTAACTTCACTTGTTTTTGTAAATTACTTTCAGTAGACTCATTTTAGTTCAGTTCACACAATGAAACAACAGCACTGATCATCTTGTCTAGGTTATGCAACAAATCAATGTGTCATAAATCAGGCTTCTCTTTCCCTTTGTAAGACCCAAAACAGCCAACATAAATTCAATATGAAGTAAGGTAACTCTTGCAGTCAGCAAGTGTAAATTAAGCTGTGAGAGTAGTCCCCCTTTGCTTACAAAATGTCTGGTGACCCAGTAACCTGTATCTGAAATACATGACCCACATATAACAAAGACGAGCTGTGTTACACAAATAGAACAGGTTTCAAGCAATCTACAGTCATTATCATAATGTGTTGGAGCACAGTCAAAATTTATTAACCAGACTTCTTAAATGCTTTTACAAAATAGCAGTGTCAATATTCTTTGAAAAATAATGACTGACTGTTCAAAAGAAAGGAAGGTTCAGGTTACAGACAAGTAATTAAGTATTGACCTGCACAAATTAAGAGTTCAGAATAAAAAGAACAAAATGCAGTTAAACATGCACAGTTTTTGCATAGAAAAGTTAATTGAAAAACTGAGAAGTTCCACAAAATTGCACTAAAACAATTGACTTGCACTGGGATTGAATTGAGAATGGTATTTTACCTTTACTATATCTGACCTGTGAACTTTTTTTATTTCTTTGCGCTTTGAGGGGGTATGGACTTAGTTTTACATTAGTCAGAGTCAATACAATGGAAGTCTATCAAATGTCAAAGGTTTTCAAGCAGATCTGTGATAAGTTCATGTTAATTAAACCAGCCGTTCGACAAAATGTCACCCAAATTTCTTTATAATATGCTTTGACTAAAATTCTTTCAAATTTCAATTTTAACAGGTAATATATATAATTCTAAAGGTTACAGTCTTTACTATTCTGTATATCTGCCTGACTTAGGTGTTTAAAAAATCAGGCAAGATCTTGAAACTCGGCAATAATCTGTGACTTACTTTGCGTAAAACTGGGTCTTCGGTGACGTTCTAATTTTGGTGTACTGCATTCGGACCCTTTCGTTGAAGAGCAGTAACGGTGACTGCAGATTCCACATTCTTAAAACAGAAATTAAAACACCATATACAAACCTGTTAACATCCAGGAAATTATTAAATCGTACATAAATATCAAAAAAATATCAACTAAAATATCAAATCACTATTATGAACTGTAGGAAATTATGTAAGTTTTAATCGTACTTTAGTTAAGGAAGTAACAAACTTGAGTCATTTGTTATATTGGCCTATAAAAGTTACTACTTTCATCTATCACAAGTGTCATATACTTTAAATGCATACATTTTGAAAACTACTCTATAAAAAAAAAAATTGAGCCGCGTCACGACAAAACCAACATAATGGGCTTGCGACCAGCATGGATCCAGACCAGTCTGCGCATCTGCGCAGTCTGATTAGGATCCATGCTGTTCGCTATATCAGTTTCTCTTCTTGTTTTAGGGTTTGTTAGCGAACAGCATGGATCCTGATCAGACTGCGCAGGCTGGTCTGGATCCATGCTGGTCGCAAACCCATTATGTTGGTTTTGTCGTGACGCAGCTCAATTGATGAAACTAAACCTTAAACACTTTCCAGCAAAGAGACTTAAATGTGAGATCTCTGGCTTCAGGAGAATTAACGAAGCCATATATTAGAATATTTATGTAATATCATGTCAACTGGCACGGATCATTTTTAGCTAAATCGGGACATAGTCATGATTAAAAAAATGTGATGAAGACTTTCACAGAAAAAAAAAAGTTGACAGTGGCAGGTAATTAACAGCTTAGAAACGCTCCTGAATTTTCATATATCAATTATTTTCTATCCTTTACAGATCTATTTTCCAACAAGTCATCAAACGATGTGGCCAACAATGTGAAACATTTGATTTAAATAATTATGTAACCAAGATAGAAACCGAGATATCTATCATTAAAAATATGAACAAGTAATGCAAAACCTAAAAATTTTGATGGAAATTTTTTTTCCCTACAATAAGGAGGTTTTGGGGAAGTTTGTGACCATAGTGTATATAATACAAGCAACTATTTCATGTTGATAATTTTAACATTTATATATGATCCTTACCTCGGCATTGCACACCTTGTCTCATCAACCCATAAAGAAATTTGTCACACAGATGGCATCTCTGGAGAGATGAGAAGTTATACTCTGCAAATCTGTGATTCTCTGAAGCCGCACCACCGCAGCTACTTGCTGCTGTAAATATGAAAAATACATGATGGTTTTATTAACGACATCAAAACATTATTAAAAACTATTCATTTACCACTTTCTCAACATTCTTAAAATAGTGAAAAGCATTGTTAATCTATGGAAATTAAATTGTTTACCAACATTTTGCATAATATTCACTTTGCATTCTGGGTTTTATGTAACAGAAATTTGACCAAATGATGTGATCAATAATACAAAACTTCAAATGCTATTTTAATCGCTCGTTTCAAATTTCAAAACAAACTGTATATCTATTTCATTTTTTGCATTTACCAAAAAATATGTTGACTAAAAACACTTACAGAGAAACAAAGGAAATTTACCACGCCATAATATGTTATGACCCGAGTGGTAAAACTAATAAAAAATATTGAAATGGTGAAAAATGTACATTCAACTTAATGACAGAGAGTAACCCTATTTCCTTTACACCCTTTACTTTTGTGACACCCAAAATACATTTCGCTATAAAAAAACCCCAAAAAAACTAGTATGAAAATCTATGCTACATATGGATTGGAATGAAAGGGGAACCCTATTTTGTTCTGATGGTAAATCGTTTAAAAATGGAATTAATACTCTAAATATTTCAGCGTTACATTTAACTAAATTTTTGTTTACTTTTATGTCTTCAAATACGATTTTTTTTCCTTTCTCTGCCTATAATAGTAGATGGCATATAGTTCTTAACTGGACCTGTATATTATTAGTAATTTATTTAGATTAGCATTATTTTCTTCTCTGTTTACATTAATGCATGCCATATAACAAACGTAAATTGCCGAATTGTTTTAACCCTATCAAAATCATATTTATAGTGTTAAACTTGGCATAAATTACTCTATATTTTTGTCATAAACTAAGACACTTTTAATACTGAAAATTATGCGGGCTCCAGGCATGTCAAAATACCTATTTCAGTATTCACAAAAAGCTCCTGCTTTAAAAACAACAACATTTAAAACACATTACAACACAAAGGCATTAAGTAGAAACTGTTGCACATGTATGCATGTCTGTTTTACAACAGGAATGAATTTTAAAATCCTTTACGGAGCCCCAGTGCGAAATTACACATGTATAGCTTTGTAACATAAAAATAAGTTAAAATAGTTCTGTTTCAACAACCCATTTGTAACAGTTAAATTGCTTTTGCTGAATCAAAACGATTAAATACAGTATACACAATAAGTTGTCTACACAAATGGAAAATAATATTTAAAATAAACCAACAATTAATGCGATTCTTCAAATTCAAACAATCTCGTGCAATTCATTTCTTAGCTATATAGTTTTACTTAAAATTATTTTATTAAACTCACAAGGTCTCTTGAATAATCACCAGTTTCATTTGTGAATAATTCACAATGACTATAAACCATCGAACAATAAGTCACGCTTCAGAAAATTTTTTTCAAAGCTTTAATTTTTATTAAGTAAGATTTATACATAAAAAGCGGAGTATATTATAAAAGTACAGACATAAAATTGCTATTTTTGGATCTTATTATGCCAGTGATTTTTTGGTATCACATGCGAACTTTTTTATTAATATTCACTAAAATTCTTACCTTCCATGTCTGACATAAACTGTCCTGGGGGTGGGAGTGTGGAGTTGTATGGTGCCTGTTCAGGATAAAAAGAAAACGCTGCAGATTGGGAATATCCAGTGTATAAATCCACACAACAAGAACATTCAGACTTCTCGCAAAGCATATTTTGACATATCGCTAGATCTGAACTAAATTCAGATCTACTGAAGTAACATAAATTACAGTCTTTATTGTTAGACTCTATTGATGTCATTCAATTGCCCGTGTAAAATTCCAAAGATCTAAAAATTCTTGAATTCCAGAGAAATCCGTGCACAAGTTTATCCTATTTTACTCGCAAGATTTATAAATTCATTAAAATCCGACAGTCATCTGTTTAGTTTATATTATTTTTCGACAAATTTCCACCACATTTAAGTAAATATTTAATAAGATTTTCAACGCCGGCAACGTGTTTCACTTCAAAAACGCCGCACGCCGCTATACGTCTTTATACTGTGGTGGTAAAATCTCTTCTGACCGCTATACCGATGTGTAGAGGCAGTGAAGCGATTACATGTAGAGAGAGAGAGAGAATTATTGGCAAGTTCCCAAGTAGTTTAACCCACTAGCATATACACCAGGTAATGAACATTTGACCTAGAAACGGTCCGACAACTTGACGTGAGGCTCCAAAGAGATTTGACAGATTATAGCCCGTTTCAACGTAGATAATTAATCCTACCTGTGCAAATTTAAAGTGTGTTTCAATATTTGAAAGATTGTGTATTGCAGATACGTGCGGTTTGATATTTCACGAGACAAACAGTTGGGAAGTGCGGTAAGTATTTCAACACAGTAAGATTGGCAATTAATTTTTATAATGTTCCGGGCATTCGTACAAAAATGTTTGTTGTTCATTCCTGACAAAAAAAAGTATTGAGAAATTACTTATAATTAATCTCTAATTAAACTACTAATAAAAGAAAATCTCTTTAAAAATTGTAAAAGTAATATTTTATGTTTTGGATAATTATGAAAATTGGATTTTAAAGTTAAAAGGAATTCAAAAATCATGGATGGCGGTATATGTGACTTTAGAAACATAATTGGCATTCCATCTAAAAACAATTTATATCAAAGTACTTCAGTATCTGGAATTTTTCTTTATGAATTTGTACCTAGAGCAAGAAGAAACAAGAGCTGTCTGTAGGACAGCACGCTCGACTATTCTAAGTGCTTGATAGTAAAAGAGCCTTTATATTGTTTAATTTTTTAAGTTCACAAAAGGGCTAATTTTTTGTTATAAATTCATGTTATAGGCCTTAGAGAGAGTCTAATTATACAGTATTGGCTTGACTATTTGGAAGGTAATGTCACAAGGGTGTTTTATTGAGTATAATAATACTAATTACCTATGAATACATAAATTTGACAGAAAAGGTACAAAGGCTTGTTATTAAGATGTTTTATCAAGTAAATCACTGCTTTATTATTATGAATGCATAAATTGTCCCAAAAAAGGCACAAACCCTTCAGTAGTTATTGAGATAACAGCTTACAAGCAAAACTTTACCATGAATTTCTAAGTTGAAAAAGGGGAGAAAAATCAGCCTAAATGCAAGATAGAATTATGGATCTTTGTCAGTGACCCTAAATGCTTACATGAAGTTTTAAATTAATATCTTTAATAGTTATTGAGATATGTAAAACTTGCATGTTAACATTAACCAAGAGACTAAGTAGAAAAGGGGATATGAATCAGCCTTAATGCAAGACAGAGTTATGGAACTTGGTCAGTGACTAAGGGAGCGTACATACAATTATGACCCTCCAATTATGACCCTAAGTGCATGTGTAAAGTTTCAAGTAAATATCTTTGAAGACCTTTAACCAAAATTTCTAAGTTTCAAAGGGGCAAATAATTCTGCAAATATTGCAGGCAGAGTTATGCAATTTTGCAAACTGATGTGCATTGTTACTATAAAAAAGTATTTTAAATTTCAATTGAATATCTCAAGCAATAATTGAGATATTTCACTTTACAAAAAAACTTTAACCAAAACTTTTGAGTTACAAAGGGGCATAATTCTGTCAATATTGTAGGCAGAGTTATCCAACTTGTCAATCTGATGTACCTTGTTACTATAAATAAGTATTGTAAGTTTCAATTGAATATCTCAAGCAATAATTGAGATATTTGACTTTACAAAAAACTTTAACCAAAATTTCTAAGTTAAAAAGGGGCATAATTCTGTCAATATTGTAGGCAGAGTTATCCAACTTGTCTATCTGATGAACCTTGTTACTATAAATAAGTATTGTAAGTTTCAATTGAATATCTCAAGCAATAATTGAGATATTTGACTTTACAAAAAACTTTAACCAAAATTTCTAAGTTAAAAAGGGGCATAATTCTGTCAATATTGTAGGCAGAGTTATCCAACTTGTCAATCTGATGTACCTTGTTACTATAAATAAGTATTGTAAGTTTCAATTGAATATCTCAAGTAATAATTGAGATATTTGACTTTACAAAAAACTTTAACCAATGCCGACGCGGACACTGACGCCGACGCCGGGGCGACTACAATAGCTCTCATATTCTTCGAATAGTCGAGCTAAAAATAGCAAGTCAGACAAGTTCTGGCTTCCAAAACTCTATAAGCCGCTTTTTAACATTTTGTTTTTTCATCTGATGTGGCATAAACCTGTTCTGTCATAGAAATGGGTCATTAGATAAGTAAAACACTAAAAAAGGATCCACATGCCAGACATGTTAATTACAGTTGTCACTGGTGAATTCCCTATCAGACAAACCTATAACAGTCTCATGTATTTATGGTAGGCATAACAGGCTATTATTGTATATAATAAAATAAAAAGATAATGATTGTTCTAAAAATTTTGAGGATATTTCTGGGTTTACAAAGATTTTGTTATTCTCCATCCCAGCAATTCTGTCATTCATGCAAGCAATTACACTTGCTAATCATAACTAAGCAGGACAGCCAATTTAAGAGCTCAGACTTGTGACCCCTGGATTCATGTGGTCCCACAGTGTTACCACAAGTTGACCTGCTAAAATATCAGCTGATTAAATAAAGTTGAACTGGTAAAATCCTAGGCTTACAGTCTGATCCCCTTGATGGTAATGTCTTGAACTTTTGAATTAAAAAAATATGATGTGGTTTCCTTACCAATGAATTATGTTAACACCTTAATGACTCATACAGAGAAGTTCTTAACACTCCATTACACCATTCAATATGACTTAATACTAACACTCTGTTAAACCAGTTTGGCTTTTCTCACACAAAGAATAAATAGCTCGGCCATCTAAACTACTTTGGAACTTGCATTGTGGTAGACCAAGGTATGATCTTATTGGCACTCATTGAAAAAACATCAAACAAGAAACTCTTCATTTTAAGTCGAGTGAATGGAAAATTCTTTTTACCGATCCATAAAATGCAAAACTTCGCTCCAAAACGAGATGCCGTTCTTTGGCAATTTCGTTGAAGTAACTCAAGACACAGGAAATGCACACTTTCAATGGCAATTAATTATTTAGCGGAAGTTGTATGCCAAATACCAAGACGTTTCCGCCAATATTAAAATCACTTTGTAATAAACAGTTTACAAAGTAAAATAATACACTGTCTTATTACATTATCTTTCCCTTTTCTCCGTCAAATGTTTTAATTCTTTTTTTTTCTTTAACGTTTACTTTGGTAGAAATACAGATGTTACAGTGGAATAAATTTTGTTATTTTTCGATTTTTTGGTCTTTATATTAAAAAAAGAAATTCTGTCATAATTTCATTTATAAAAACAATTTGTGTAAGTTTCTACAACAGCAAAATTAAAACTTTCGCTATGATTTGATTTGGCCTTAATTAAAGTAAAAAGCATTTCTAAAATTTATATAGTAAAAAGTATTTCTAAAATTATAGCAATTTTAAAATCAAGTCACTTTTTTATAAAAAAAGTCAGCTTAATTCTAACTGGCTTTTTTTCTCCATGTTTATATCATTTTTCAGGTTGAATACACACTTATAAGAGATAGGCAGTGGTGCGTTTCACAAGTTAAATACACCATTAATGTTGATATTACAAAATCTGATGTCACTATACATCACAGCAACAATCTGTTACAAGTGTTTCAAAGCTTTTTATAGAAAATAAGTCATGTACAGTAAAATGTCATTAACCGATTTTTTTTTAGATAGAAAAAAAAAATTCCATAGTTTTTCACAGTTAACCAAGCTAAATGCATTGCAATGGGCCAATGGTATAAGCTGGTTTTAGGAAAGTGTAAGAGTGTTTAGCAGACATCTCAGTATAAAACAAGAGGGCCATGATAGCACCAGATCACTCACTTGAGATCTATGGCTTGAAAGGTCATAGTAATATGTATAATTTTATGCAGAGTATAAAGTAAAGTAAGTATAGCTGTCTAAGCTCTTTCGTGTCAGAACCAAGGAGATTTTTAAGATATCTTTTGATAGTAGTATCATAGTACACAGAAAATTTTCAAGAAATGTTTTATAGCTACACACAATGCTTTATAAACTAAGCCCTAGTTTCCAAGGAGAAAGATTTTTTTAAAGATTTCTTCTTAAAGTCTATTTTTAGCTCTTGTGAACTACTTATACATCAGACTGTATCCATTTATGTAACTTTTGTATAAGGCCTATTATTATAAGGATTATTTCAGTGAAGTTTTTTCAAATTTCGGAGATTTTAAGAAGTTGTGAATAAAACGAAAACAACAAAAACTCACTTTTGAGCACAAAGTGCTCAGATGAGCTTAAATTCTACAATGGGTCTGCAATGGTCATGCAAACTAAATGAGCTGCGCCATGACAAAACCAACATAGTGGGTTTGCGACCAGCATGGATCCAGACCAGCCTGCACATCCGCGCGGTCTGATCAGGATCTATGCTGTTTGCTTACCAACCTTATTACAAGTAGAGAAACTGATAGCGAACAGCATGGATCCTGATCAGACTGTGCAGATGCGCTGCTGCTGGTCTGGATCAATGCTGGTCGCAAACGCATTATGTTGGTTTTGTCATGGCGCGGCTCAA